TATTTGAGGTATTAAGTTCTATAACAAAACGCGGTGCTTTGCTTCTAAGTGAAAAGTGTCTAGATACTAACATTATCTTTTTTTTGGGAACATGAAATTCTAGAATATATTCTCTTCGAAAAGTCAACAAATTCGCGTTGACACACTTGCGACTAGATTATGGAGTAAACAAAAGCAAACTTATTCAATATCTTCAAGTTCTTAGTCTAGTAAAAACTCTCAAGTAAATAGGTCGAGTCTTACGTCTATTCGAATTTCAAAATTAGTATAAATGCGAAGCTATAAAATATTAAAAACATTTTAAAGGAATTTGAGTTCCAACCAACCAAATAATAGAAAATTAATCCATCTGTAAACCATGAGATCACATGGGAATCACTGGAGGAATAGCAGGTAAGATTCTGATTCTGGTTTGTAAATCAATATGATGCACCCCAAATCCATTAAGAGGAAATTGGAATTGGCATTGGATATCCGACGGCCCCCTTCCCATGCACAGTATTGCTATTTCGGTTGTCATGTCTTATGTATTGCTGGGTCCCATGCCCTTTTTCTCCGGGAATTGGGACCCGTCGAATAGGACCGTGGGGTACTCTTGATTCCATTTTCACTCTGTTGAAACATCAATTCTAAACGACAAATTTCATAACTTTTATCAAAATTTTTAAAAATATTTCAGCAAGTTCAAATATGTTAAGCTTTTAAAGACATGATTATATCCACTACAGGTAATTGTTAAAATTTCAGCAACTCAATTAGCGAAGCCCTGTTGAAAATTATATTTTTATTAAATTATAATAAAAATTGATGAAATATTTGGTTTAAAAGTTGATAAAAATCGTAGGTCTCAGACTCTCAGTAAATGTGTCGTTAATTTAATTGTGAAATTTGACTCAAAATTTTATCAATTTCTTTAGCTAAATCAAATATAGAATACATATTCACCTTTGGTAGTTTACTCAGCAAGATAAATTGAAAAAGGGTAGACAATTGAGCCACATTTTTTGTAGCATAGATTTTTTAATAGTGATTTTTCAGAGTGATGTGGTTAAAAAGTATGAATTTTTTTTTAAAAAATTTACGTATAAAATATGTGTAGTTAAAAATAATTTTTTGAAGAACAAGACTCAAATAGAGGCTAAATAAAAACATGTACTGACATTGCATAAACTAATAATATTTAATGCAAATCCAAAAATTAAGAACCTCATTTAAGCTATGTTTGAGCCTCATTTTTAGTGAAAAATAAGTTTTGTAATAATTACTTTTTTTATATAGAATTTGTGGTTAAAAAATAGAAAAAATTAATTTACGTATAAAATTATTTTACTAAAAAAATAGGTGATTGAAAAAAATAAATTTTAAGACCAAGAGTCTCAAATGAGAAAAATCCCATGTATACTAATCATCCAGTTGAAAGTAGCCCAACCCTACCAAAGCCAACAAGGCAAGTGGGTCAATTCATTGGATGGAGGGTCCTCAATAATGCTTTCTACATGTCGAAAACATAAAATCCCCCCACAGAATATTTACAAACTGCTATACAAATTGCCCGCTTTGGAGCCACTTGGGAACCCACTTGTTGACATAAGGTTGGGCCCTACAGTGTACCAACACATTCTCAACCGTCCAATGTGCTCATCAGAGACGCCATCCTTTTTTCCTCTGTACTTTCAGTGGATGGGAATATTTCACTCGCTGAATCAATAGAAACGTCTTTGTACTTTAAACAATTGATCCTTTTCGTTAGTTAAGACTCGTTTGGCATAATTTTTACTTTTACTTTTCTTTTCTGTAGAAAATCTCGAAGAGTCAATAAATTCGCGTTGACACACTTGTTTGAAAAGTAATTTTTAAAATTGTTTTCTATTTCGAAAGTGTTTTTAAAACATTTGATGAGTTTCCCGTAAAATCTTTTCTAACTAAAGTAGCATTATTCTTTATAAAATTAACAAAATGGAGTCAAAAGAAGCGTTTGAATTTCAAAATCTCATTTGACTTTTCAAAAACCATACTAAATGGGTCCTTATTGCATTGAGGCATAATGATTCTCATTTAGCTAAACCCCTGTTTGGCCACAATGTTTTTAAATTTATTATTTTCAAACTCATTTTGAACAACGTATTTTTAAGATCCACAATTTTTATCAATTTTTCAATTACAAATTTTAATATTTTTTGTCAAATATTACTAAAAAATTGGTTTCAGTCGAACATTGAAATTGACACATATTTCCATGTGATGAGACTGTTTTGACTTTCGATATACTAGTTACTTGGTAAAATGATATTAGAAGAATTTCATTGGATCACCATACTTTTTCCATTTATTTCCACAGCTTTTGGAGAAAAATTGATTTTTGAATAGTGATATGATGGGAAATGTGTGGTTGAAAAAGAAGAAAAAAGTATTGATGTGATGGAAAATATTATTTTATTGAAGAATGTGTGGTTGAAAATGAGAAGTGATTTACTGTAGAAAAGGAGAATTGTTACCAAACAGGCTCTAAATGGGTCCTTATTGCATTGAGGCATAATGATTCTCATTTAGCTAAACCCCTGTTTGGCCACAATGTTTTTAAATTTATTATTTTCAAACTCATTTTGAACAACATATTTTTAATATCCACAATTTTTATCAATTTTTCAATTACAAATTTTTTAGCGTGTTCTGTAGAAATTAAAATCGGATTAAAATTGAAAAACTAGCCGTTATTGTTGACTTTTATTAGACGAGTGAAATCCAATAACGACTATATTTTCAATTTTAATTGAATTTTAATCACTCCCAAACATTAATATTTTTTGTCGAAATTTACTTAAAATTGGTTTCAGTCGAACATTGAAATTGACACATATTTCCATGTGATGAGACTCTTTTGACTTTCGATATACTAGTTACTTGGTAAAATGATATTAGAAGAATTTCATTGGATCACCATACTTTTTCCATTTATTTCCACAGCTTTTCCATTTCCTTTTCTGATTGATACTCTTGCTTTAATTCTTATCGATGATTTTTTTTTTTATGAAAGCTTAGATTCTAACAAATGACCAAAAGTGAATATAAGCCCTTGTTTGCTTTCTATTCTTTCAATTTTTTATTTATATACTTATTTTCAATCATACATTTACATGTAAACACGATTTCTTCCCCTACCTTTTAACCACGCATTCTCCAAAAATTCACTAATAAAAACAATATTTTTCCAAAAAATTGATCACCAAATAGGGGATAAATAATGTGAACATTTCTATTTGATCTATCAAAAAGCTGCGAAGTTTGCATTTAAACAGCGTTGTAGGCTACTTGTAGCCAACTTTGTTAAAACTATCTACCACGTTGGAGATTTCATAAGTTTGGTCATGATTGCTAATGGAGAAACTAAAAAAAGAAGAAGTATGGTGACTAAATTTGAAATAAATAAAGGTTAGATGACTATAAAGTAAATTAAAATAACCTAAAATTGACATGTAGGATAGGTAGGGGTGTCATTTGGCTCGCCAATACAGACGGACCGTGGCTCGGTCTAGAAAAAGCCCTAGTCGGGTGTTGAGCCACACGAGCCGGCTCTTGAATTGAGCCTTCCAAAAATAATTTAAAAGTAAAGCAGTTGGTCGTGTTAAAATAATAATAATAAAAATAAAATTCATGAGCCAGCTCAGCTCGATAATACGAGTCAAAATGTTCTGGTCAAGCCTAGATTTTTTAACCGATCAAAAGCTCGACTTGTACCATTTTTACTCAAATCGAGGCCTTGCCACGAGTTTTAGCTCGTTGAAATTCCTAAGGATAGGTCTTATTTTCTAAAATTTAATTTTTCCTCAAATTCATTTTAAACACAAATTTTATGAAATTTACAATTTTTATCAACTTTTACCAAAATTTACTATAACTTTGATTTTTAGCTAAACCAAATAGAGGCCAATTAAAATTTACAAATCACATAAGAGCTATTTAGTTCTTTTCGAATCTCTATTTAGTCATGCGTGATCTTAAAACTTTTTGTAACTTAACATGTCATTGTTAAGACACGTGGCACAGATGGTGACTTGGAATGATGGGACCCTTTAGCCTGTCATACATGTGTTCAACTGTGAAAGGAAAGGACTAGCAGAAAATAGCTGCCCCCTCTCCGCGTGGGATATGGGGTCAAAACGTATATCAATTTGGTTTCAGTAATTTCAAGCATACATTAACACATTGTAAACATTATTAACTGCACAAATAAGGAATGTTTCGTTAATTTCAATTGTATAATCATTGCGAAGATATTTTTATACTTGGCCCCTGTTTTAGTTTCATTTTTTTTTTTTAGGAAAATACGTAATTAAAAAATAAGATTTTTTTAAATTTTCGTATAAAATTATTTTATTAAATAATCTGTGATTGAAAATAAATTTTTGATAAAATGGGGCTTGACTTTATAGATTTAACCTTAAAAATCTTTCATTTCATAAATATTGAATTAAACCAGCATGTTCGAGTGGACAGAGAACTATGATTTAATCATACGAAATGAACGATCTTGATTTGGACCGGATTCTAAGTTGCAGAACAATTTCTAAAATGTTGGCACACGGTGACAAAACGAATTAACAAAAAACGCTCTACCACATGGGCGTGAAGCTGGACAATCACCATCCCGGGCCGGTCACTAATTGATTTTGATTTTACAGTTTCGTGCTCATCTTCCCCATTCTCTCAATATGTGCCTCGTCCTTGTTGTAAGATGAATGAAATGCAGACAAAATGAAACCCAAATTGAAATGAAATGTATGTGGGGTCACCTTCTACAATATATACAACTGCAGCTTTCAACTCGTCCATTGTTAGCATTACATTACTCACTCAAATACATATTGCGTGCTTCTTTTCTTAATTGTGTCGCCGGAAAATCAAGATTCCGGCAACCTAAAATACACTCAAAATCAACTTTTTATGCACACAGATTTTATTCCGGCTGCTCGGAGTTTGCGTTTTCTTTGGTTTGGTTATTGATGGCAAAGGGTCGAAAATTTACAAGTAATCAAAGTGAACGATTTTTGGGTAGTTCTAGTTACAATAATGGCCGAGAAACAGTTGCAGGTGGATCAGAGCTACAAGAAGATGAAGTTTGGTCAATGGTCGATAATCACTTGGCTAACGGGGATTGGAATTCACGAGCCGCCGTCGATGGTAATGCAAGTTTCAGTAGTCATCGGAGTTTCCGGCACCCGCCCACCGCCAACCACCCCCAGCACCGCCGCCAAGTCGGAGGGCTGTCTTTGGCTTTTGCTGAATCGAGCAAAACGTCATCAACCATGGTCGTGCACCAAATCCGTGGACAGGACAGCGTGGAGGTATCACCACGTGGGCGGTATGTGGCTACCTCGGCCCCAGTGAATGTGCCGGATTGGTCCAAAATTTATCGAGTTGACTCGTTCGAGTCGATGCATGACTCGGACGATGGCTTGGAGGCCGGTGAATCCGAGTTGTTTCCGCCTCATGAGTACCTGGCTCGTGTATATGCAGGGAGCCGGAACAATTCAGTTTTCGAGGGTGTGGGTCGAACGCTAAAGGGACGGGACTTGAGTCGAGTTCGTGATGCTGTATGGAGCCAGACTGGGTTCGATGGTTAAAAATTATGATTAGGGAAATGGGTTCATCATTAATCATTATTAGCAGCCTAAATTAAAATGAGAAGTATTTGTTATTTCCATTGCTCTATGATCTTTTTTTTTTTTTGTTGTTGGGCACCTGAGTCAGGTATGATTTCCACTGGCAGCAATTAAGCCCAAAATTTCAATTTAGAGAGAGTTTCGCTCGTTCAACTTTTTTGAGTTTCTTGCGTTTTCTCTCTCTTGTATTTTGTTTGTCTGGTCAAGATTTGTCATTTATTTTATCAATAATGACACGGTTAAATTTAAGTGCAAAGAATTTGAAGATTGTTCTAAAATTACACGCCACTATGTTAGGTTGAACAATAAAATACAATATAATTTTAGTATTAGGTACGATACAAGTTTATAGTATATTCGTGTGATGCTGTAAAAATCTTGAACATAAACTTTTGAACCCTTATAGTGACTGTGTTGCATAGATGATGTTTGTGTCGTATCAGCCATGGCCTTTTAATGCGCATTTATTATATGAGATTTTTCGAAGATGCAGCCTTTTTGCAACATACTCACTTAACAACAATCTTCACTTTACCTTTAGACGAGTCACAAGATGTATAATGAATGGAATCGCACGTAATTCAAAAAAGCCCAAGTTCATTCATCCAGGAAAAAAATACATTTTTCATGAATATCTCTAAGCAAGCCCCTGTTTGGTGATCGTACCATTCAAAAGTAGAAATTTTTTTTAAATTTTCGTGCATAATTTTTTTCCGTGTAAATGTGTAGTTGAAAATTAGTATATATAAGAAAAGTATGATTGTCAAACATGAGCTAAATGTGGAATAAACTAATGGTCGAGGAAAAATGAAATTGATGTTATGGCACAAATAATCGCCAAATGTACAAAGAATAACTAATGGTTGCACCGATTACGAGTCCATATGGTCAATGGGGAACGGGTTAGAGAGGTGGAAAATCCTGAAGCCAATAAATTTATGGGCATGTTTGTCTCTCATTATTGGGAGAAAAATAGAGTAATGAATAATATTTTTTGAAAAATGTGTGGTTGAAATTTAAAATAATTTTATTGGTTTGTGTGTAGAATATTTTATTGTGTGAATGTGTGGTGAAAAATTTTACTGTAGCAAATACTTTTTTGGATTAATGATGGACAAACGGAGGATATTTCAAATAAGTTCAGATCTCAGTATAAAGGTTCACAATCGAAGTAATGTAGAGGGATTACAAAGGGTCCACTCCAAGATGATCTCGTAACATAATTATACTTTTATTCTTTATAAAGTTTGCAATCGATTTAAAATAAAAATGACTCCATGCACTATGACGTATGACCCAAAAGTGAGGGCTTAGTCTAACTCAAGTGTCAAAAGTGAGTGACAGAACTTTTCACATTCAGTAAAAGTCGACGTATTTAGGCCCTATTTGGTACATATATTATTTTTTTTATTCTCATTCTTTTACTTATTTTTAACTGCACATTCTTCAATAAAATAATATTTTCCATCATATCAATAACTTTTCCTTCATTTTTAACCACACATTCTCCATCAATCTACTATTCAATAATACATTCTTTCAAAAGAATGTGTCCCAAACACACATATATGGTA